CTCCCCATGTCTGTATTGAGGCAGGGTCTCTCACACAACATGAAGCTCTCTAATTCTAGCTGGTCTAGCTAGCCAGCTTGTCCCAGGAGCTCCGATCTCTGCCTTCCGAGCACTGGGACTGCAGGCGGGGCGGCACACTTGTCTGGATTCTGTAGGGTCGCAGGGGATCTGGACTCTGGGCCTGATGCGTGTGTGTGATTCCTTTGCCCACTGATCTATTTCCCCGGCCCTCCACACCGTTTCTTACGTCATTTTGAAGCTGTCCTCCAGCTCTGGCTCGTAGCAGCTCAGGAGTGTCTGCCACCGGAGTGAACGTGGAGACTCGCTCATCATGGCCTCTCTTGTATTGAACCTGATAAGGAGAAGCTGAGTCAAAGCCGTGACACACCTACCTCAAGCCTCTTCGAGGACCCTGCCTTACAGCTCTCCAAAAGCTAAACCTTTGGGCATGCTCAAAACCAACCAAGTCAAGATCAACCAAACGTTATCTGTGCTGATGTGCCAGCTTAAAGAGTACCAGGTGCATCTTGGTGTCACCAACTAATGACTCATGTGACCCTTTCAACAATCACATCCCATCCAACAGGATGATTATTTACCACAAATGAGATGCTGAGGGATAGAGAAGCTGAGTAATTTGACCAGAGCTATACAGTGAATATTTGGGAGAACCAGGATTCCAATCCTAATTTTCTGTCTCTAAAGCCCGAGCCCTTAACCTATGAGCTAGAACAATCTCCAGGTAGATCAGTGACCACCCTAAGAAAAACCAGCAACCTGGAAGAAACATTTCCTTGAATCTTTGGGTGAGTTCTAAGGTCTCTGCATCTTCCCCTTTCCACATTTTGTAAGTGTGGCCCAACCAAGGCTCAGAAGACACATTATAAGGAAAATGTGGTTTCCCCACAACCCTCTAAAACATTCTTCTGGATTTCCTGGATTGCAGGGATGGCCACATTCATGTCAAGAGCTAGCATCATCAAGGGTACAAATGAGCCCAGCACTCTCACCTGGCTGGCCAGCTGGTTGGCTGTCTTGGCCCTTTGGTAGGCAGGTGTGATCATGGCTGGGAAGCTTCCTTTTCCTTGTGGCTGTTCATAGTCTTCTGTATAGCCCTGCTGAAGAACCACAGAGGCATGACAACCACCCAGTCCTGGCGTGAGAACTCACAAAACTGCAACAACGTCAGTGTCGCTGGACTCATCCCATTCATGGGAAACAATCGCTGGGGTAAGTTGGGACATGGTCCTTGAATAACACCATCAAGACTGAGGACCCATATTCTCCAAGTCAAAGGGGGTCACCCCAGTGTTTGTATCATATTAGGAGGAGCCTGGCACAATTCTCTTGGCTGCCCTTGTATCATAACACGGCCAGGAGACTCGGCTGAAACCTATCTCCAGGGAGAATTCTACAGCACAGGAAAGGAGATGGCTCATTTTTCCTCCTTGGTTTCTGAGCAACCCGAGGGTTAACTTTTCTAATGAGAGACATGACGTCATAACTTTCTCTTGCTTCTGTTTTCCAAAGGAACAAATTACAAAAACTAACAGTAATTTCACAAGTAGGGTCTTCAATGGGGCACTCCTGGGGTGAGCCATCAGCACTGGCTCCTCCTGGAACAAGAGGAGAATTTGTCTCATTCTTTTCTATCTTCCAGAGGCCCCTGTATTCTTCACTTCTTCACCCGACATGGCTTTGATCTCTTCTCTGTCACTACAGTGACTTTTCTCTGACTCTGACCTCCCTGGCTACTGGCTAGAGAGAGCCTTGTAGGACAAGAAGACCCAGAATCCAGGTTCTTCCCATCACCTCCAGACCCTTAACTTAATCACACCTGCACAGTGTCTCTATCGTGTGAGTGATGGGATCCACAGAGTGGGACGTGGAAATCCTGGGGAGAGAGGCATTGTAGCTCGACTACCCTCTTCCTAGCTTTTCTTGTCTTAAGCACTTTCCCTGGCTTACTGTGTAGCTCTATTTAGAGGGCGGGATGGCTCCCTTAGAGATGGAGTATGGCTGTCAAAAGGAGGTCACTAGGGACCAGTGTTTGAAGGTTATGTCTACTTCAGGTTCTAGACTGATTTCTCTGCCTCCTCAAAGACACAGTGAACAAATCACTGATTGAGGTCCCTGCATCCATCAGACAAAATCAAACATCCCCCTTTGTTTCTGTCAGGTGTTTTTGCCACGGTGACAAGTGGCAGGTGTTCTGTCTATCACAATCTTAAAAATGAAGGAAAATAGATGTATAACACAGATCATTGTCCACTGCCTGTAAGTGGTTCATAAGTCCTTACCTCACCCAGAGACTGAGCTTCAACCATCCTTACGATCTCAGGGTCTGGCAGAGCTCCTGGACACCAAGTGCTCCCTTCTCCATACCCCGGCCAATAGTCTCTCTATGAAGAAAGAAAGCAGGAACATGCATCCAGATGTATTCCCTGCATGCTTGACTGTCCAACACACACACACACACACACACACACACACACACACACCAGTCCACCCCACGTTCCCCCCAGTCCACCACTACACTCTGCACTTACACTCCCCTCAGCCAGCCCACATGTTTTCTAGCCTATCCCACACTCTCCAAGTTCACCCCACACTACGCAGCCCACCCCACACTCTCCAGCCCACTCCACACTCTCCCCTACCCACCCCCACCCCCATTGCCCCTACATGCTAGGACTCAGACTAGAAAAAGACCTAACATCTTGAATAACCCAATTCCCTGAGATCTTCTGTGTTACAGAAACCTTCCAAATGCAATAAAACATTTCTTTGCTCCTCTATTCATTAAGACTAGGCAGGGAGAAGTCCCCATAGGCTGAGGTAAGTCAGCTTTGCCCAGGAAAACTTCAAAAGCCAACTACTTATTTTGTATCTGAAGATTGCCAATGGGAAAAGCAAAGGAAAAAGAAAAAAAATTTTTTTCTTTGAAAATATTTTGCTGTAAAACTTCAGGAATAAAACAAAGAAAGTAAACAGCAACTAGAAAACATTTGCATGCTTACACATACTTTAGGGAAAATAAAGCATTTTAAGGCGACCTGTAAGAGAGCAATTGACAACCTCAGTGAAAATTAAAAGGCAGTACACTAGGACATTAAGACCACATTTTCCATTATGGGTCCTAGGGAAGCAACTGCTGTAGCCAAAGAAAAGTAAACTGTTGCAACTTTATCATTTGTAAGAGCAGACAGCCCTGCCTACCAATAAGGTGACACCCTCCATCTGGTCTCAATTGTGCATCCTTGACACCCATCCGTACAGCTCAAAAGAGTGCTGATATACAAATAGTTCTCAAGAGTCTGTGGAGCCAGGTGGTGGTGGCACACACCTTTAATCCCAGCACTCAGGAGACAGAGACAGATGGATCTCTGTAAGTTCAAGACCAACCTGGTCTACAAGAGCTAGCTCAGGATAGCCTTCAAAGCCACAGAGAAACCCTGTCTCGAAAAAGGGTCTGTGGGATGGAAAGAAAATGAAAACAGCCAGAAAATAATGCACACTGGTTAATGAAAAAATACATTGGCATATAATTATAATAGCCCATATTCTAACATCTTTGCATTTATCTGTTCTTTAATCTTCACAATAGCCCTGTGGGTTAACATGTTTTTTTAAGTTTACTTTATAGGTGATAAAAATTGCTTTCTGGTTTGATTTGAGGCTCTTTCTCCACAGGAAGGAACTTATGACACACATGGACCTGGCACTGTGACCTGGTCAGCATACCAGGGCCAGAGAGGTCGCTGGCACGAGAGGCATCCTACTCCTCTTCTGAATACTGATGTTTATATCCACAGATTAGGGATGCCCTCAGCCTTCATCACACGTGCAGCGGTTAAGGCACAGACTTATAACCGGTCCAAGCTCCAGGAATAAATGACAGTAGATTTACAGCCCAAAATGCATCTATATCACCCCCTCCAAGCGTCAAGGAAAATCACAGGAAATGGGGAAGAAAGAATGTAAGAGCTGGAGGATGAGAAAATGGGCCACCATAAAACAAACAAAGTCTCTTGCAGCTTGGTGTGGTGGTGCATGCCTTTAATCCCAGAGTTTAGGAGGCACAGGCAGCCTGGTTAACAGAGCAAGCTCCAGGACAGCCAGGGCTACACAGAGAAACCCTGTCTGGCGGTAGAGGAGATGTCTCTCCAACCTAGTTCTCAGGACTCACTACAGTTGCTATCTGCACAAGACTGGTCCCTGCAACATTACACCATGGAAGGGAAGAACCCATGATGTCACATCCTTCCCTGAGGGACCATTAGCCATTAATGGATGTTGGGTGAGGAAGTATCATTTTCTTCAGCGGTGTAGCTACTGAGTGTAGTCCACACTCCAGTAAACAACCTCCCACTCACGCTCATGCCTGTAATGTCAATTAAACTCTGTGAGTGAGTGAGTGAGTGAGTGAGTGAGTGAGTGAGTGAGCTCTCTCTCTCTCTCGCTCTCTCTCTCTCTCTCGCTCTCTCTCTCTCTCTCGCTCTCTCTCTCTCTCACACACACAGAGAGAGAGAGAGAGAGAGAGAGAGAGAGAGAGAGAGAGGAAATCAGGAAAGTAGGAAGGTGACTTGAGAGGGCTTTCAGTGCATGAGATAATAGGGGCACAATAATGACTAAAATTCATTATATGCGTGTATAATATGTGTACGTACAAAATTATAATTCAAAACTAAGAATTAAATTTTAAAAAGAGTGGCTAAGTAACTCAGCTCAGGACCTTTGGGAAGGTAGTAGGTGTGCCCAAAAGTAAGTACTAGAAGTTAGAGAAGGACAGGACATTGAGAGACAGGTATCTGATTGATAGACACCAATAGGGGATGGTTATAAACAGAAATATCAGACAGATAGGAGTGCACAGTAAATTCTAGAAGGCTAGCTGCAAGATTAGCCAGGTGGGCCCTGGAACTGAGTGAACTGGGATTGGAGACAAAGAGTTAGCTCTATTCGCATTAGATTCTTTTACATTGAGAATATGCAAATACTCAGAATAAAAGCCTAGGGATATTTAAGGAGCAGGTCATCAACAGACAGGCCAGAAGAAGGTAGGTCAGGGACATCCAAGAAACTGTGTGACTGATTGGCACACTGGACTGGGGACAAGAAATATGGAAGAGGGGAACCCGTGCCAGTGGCTTCCTTAGACGTGGTAAAATGGTGATCTTCTTTTGATAGTCTGTATCCTTTTCTCCTTCCAACTCACCTCACTCATCAGTGGTTGCTTGCTAGGTGTGCCTGCTCCCTCCTTGGACTTCATGTCCCAGTGGAAAACGGATTTAAACTGCTCACCATCCTGGCCACTGATCTGCACAGTGTGAAAGTGTGGTCAGTAACAGTTCCTTCCATCAGAGAAGGGAGAGAAAATAAGGGAAGCACAGCTGAATCGGGGCAGTTCTCCCAAGGCTCAGCTAGGAGGCATCTTAGCGGTATCACAAAGCTCATGCGTTATGGGTCCCACTGTGGCCTCGTTTGTGCCACCAGCCAGGTGACATGGATTGAATTCCTGTAAAGCTCTGGTGCTCTATTGAGCGGTGCAATTAAAAAGCTAGAGGTGGCTCAGCTTCTGAAGGCACTTGCCACCAAGTCTGATGGCCGGAGCTCAATCCCCAGAGCTCCCCTGAGTTGCCTTCTAACCTCTATGTGCACACCCAGGCACACATGCACACACACACACACACACACACACACACACACACACCCCTATCTAGTCTTCAGCCATTTAGCTGTAATTGAGTGTACAAACACCAATCTCTCCAACATGTGACCACAACAGCATTCTTTCCACATTGAACTGCACTGGTGTTTGTTTTGTTTTGTTTTGTAAGTGACCACACATGAGCAACTCATTGCCAGACTCTGTGTTCTCACTCAGTGGTGTGTCTTTGTGTCTGTCCACTAAATGACTAGATATTACTTTTATAGTAAATCTTGAGAACTGGTAGACTAAGATCTTCTGTTCTAAAAATTTCTCTGTTCTAAAAATGGGAGCCCTCCAATTTTCACATCACCATCACAGGCAATCGGCAGTATCTATAAATCACACCGTGATTGCAACTGTGATGGCAAAGATACGAGGTACAGATGTCATGTCCACATTCAGATGGGTTTGGGGAAATGCAAAGGTTCTTAAAGAGAACTGTGGCAGGACTCACCCACCATAAGAGAAAAATCAACGAGTTCTTAGGGCCAAAGCCAAGATATCACAATTTGTTGGATCAGAGATGGGGCCACTAAACTTCAGGTTTTACAAGCTGAAGGTTAAATCCCCAGTTTTACAGACAATGGAGAAACAAGGGCAGAGAAAAATATTTAAACCTAGGAATTCCAGTTTCCTGTCAAGGGCACTTTCTGTCTTTGACTTCCCAGGCCTGCTGCTGATTAATGCCTGGTGCAGACCCACAGGTGGCAATCAGTGCATGACTGGGATAGCTTTGCACACGTCACTCACTGGGCTTGGAGAGTCCATTGTGAGCAGAACGGAGCCTCAAAATGGGTTTCTGATACATAGGCCCAGGTAAGCCCCTGTATTGAGGGACTCCTTGAGCATGGCAGGACATTTCACAGCAACCTTAGTTCTTACCCACCAGATACGATAATTCCTCCCTCCCAATGTGACAGTGGCAAATGTCCCCAGTCAGTAAATGCTGTCCTACATGGGTCAAACTACCCTGCTGGAGAACCGTGACTTAAGGAATAAGCAACATGTGGCCAAAACAAGAGGCCACTTTCAGGAAGCTGCCTTGCTGCCCTTGCCCAACTCTGTAAGCCCTGAGTGACAGTCACAACCACACTGGGGAGTAAGTGAGGGGGACAGCCAAAGGCTGCAGATGCCACTGCCGATGCTGAGTAAGGTCATTCTGAATAGAAGTGAGCTGCCAGGTAACTTTTCTAGAAATTCCATCCACTCTGAGAAAATAGGAAGTTCTAGCTTAATAAATATTCATTTTTTAGAGTGACATTTGTGAAGCAGAAAATCATAGCTCTGTGGCAAAGGCCAGCTTAAAGTCTTTATCCAAAGTCCCCGTCACCACCGTCACTGGAATACATTTTTCCTTCCTTCCTTTTGAAATTTTTAGCATATAAGCAATGCATTTATCTCTTTTTGAATTGGCCATGTCTCTCAGAGAGGTGGAAAGGCAGTGTTGAAAAATTCATTCATCACATGCCCTAGGGTAGTTCAAAGATTTGAGGCCTAGAAGGGCATGATTCTTCATTTCAATTTTCCTAATGAAAAAATAGGAGAATGGGGTCCTAATAATAAATTGTTTATACGTACACACACTATACACACCATACATGCATGCACACACATACACATGTACATAACATACACAACTGTACATGTGCACACATGTTTTGTATCCATGAACAAAAATTCATGCTGCAATATTCCAGTATACACAGGAATATAACTTGCACACACACACACACACACACACACACAGAAAAATCTACACATGCATACATGCACACCACATATATATACACTTGTGTATCTATACACACATACCACAAACATACAATACACACAGTGTGTGCATTTACATAGCAGTGCATATACCATGTGCCTGTATGTTCATGCATGCCTAGTCACACTTGCCAGCACCCATATACACACTGCCCATGTGCAAACATGAATTTGTACACATTGTCACATAGTCATATGGATGCAAACAAACAGACACACTCGGGCATTCTGGGAAACTGGCATTCCTGCCTATGGTCTGAAAGAGAATGACAGATGACCCTAGCATCCTTCCAGATTAGGTCTGCCACACACAGTTAAAAGGAAATGAGCCCACTGCTACCCAGGGAAAGGTACACGCTGCACCGCATGCTTCATTGCGTAACCGTGAGGTAGCCCTGCCGGCTGAGGCTTGAGGGGAAGCTGGGAAATGGCAGACGGCATAGGACACTTTACACAGAGTGTGACACACACCAACAGTATTCTGAGGGCAAGTAGTTCTCCCTGTACACAACTGCAGAACCATCTGGATACATGAAGTTTGGATCTTCCTGGCTTTTGTAGTTTGTTGCCTTCTGGGTATGTGCACAAGTGGGCCAGTAATATGGACTCTATGGCCAGACAGATCCAGATTTGTACACAGAGATCTGGATGGAATTGTGCAGGTTGTATGATGTCTCTGAGCCTCAGGCTCCTCTCTAGGAGAATGGGATAAGAATAATATCTGCTCCCCTGGGTTACAATGTGTATAGAGTGATGTGAGCAGTGCCACACACACTTGTTAAATACAAACTCAATGCAGAGCACTTGGTGAGCACTTAAGGAAGTCTGGAAACAGTGGCTGCAGCGCCAAATGCTGCAAGGGCAGCAGCATTAACATACTTTCTCAGTTCAGTCCAGTGAGCACCAGAGTCGGTGCAAATGGGCGATACCAGGAAGGGACTCTGGGGTGAAGAGATTACTAGAGAGTCCTCCACCTGCTGGGTAATTCCTAAGTTTAGAAACAGCAGTGTCTCATGGGCCTGGCAAGAGAAGGCCAATGATTCATCATATTAATAGATTCGATGGCTCCAGCAGCTGGATGGGTGACAGCTGGATGGGCTCGCTGTTGGCCATACGCACGCACCATCCTGGTCTGCCTAGCCCTCTCACCCACCTCCCAAAGCAAACTTCATTTCTCAAAATATCTCCGAGCTATTCTCCACAACGGGGAGTGGTGAGGTTATAGATGATTGTAAGCCACTATTCAGCTCAAGGAAGCTCTGGAGCGTGAAGTTGGAGGGCTTTGGTTTTCTACTCCAAACAGAGGAGGGAGAGAAAGAAGGGCTCTTTGTCCTATGCATTAACTTCCTATTATTATATGAAGCGATACCACTGTGGCCTGGCCTCTAAGGTTACGGTAGGACAAAGGGCAGCATTAGCCATCAGTCACTAACAAGCACTTTGCGTGTGTATGAGGAGGAAGTGAACTGATCTGTGTATAGACCGAAATGCCTAAAAATCAGCAGGACTCTGAGCCCAGGGATTCCCTAACAGCTATTGCAAAATGCAAAGCTGAGTGACTTACCCCACCCGTGGCTGCCACAGGCTTCTTCAGAGTTATGTTTAAAGGCGTGCGGTAGACACTAGTGAAAGTGTTGTTCTTAGGGTTATGGCTGCAAATGTAATGCAAATCAAAATTAGAAAAGTGCTTGATCCAAGGGGACAAGTGACATCTTAGAACACTGGTCTCTTAAGAGGGAGGAGCACAAAACTCAAGAATTCAGCTCTTGACTTCCCACCGAATCTTACCCCTCAAAAACTCATACCAAGTAAATTCCACACATGTAACATGGAGATGGGTTTCCACTGAGGATGGTCATGGATCTGGACACCATGTAAGAGAAACGTTTTAAGCTCCTGTCTACCCATATCTTCAGTAGTTACACTGGCACACAGTTACAGTGGGTGGAGCTGGTCTTTCGCCTAAAGTCCCACGTTGGGGCTCTTCCGTGACTAGCTATGAGTGACACTTTGGGGGAGGGAGTGCTTAGAGTCCAGCCTGGAGCTTAGAACCCGATCCCCCAGTGGCTACTTGTTGAAAACCAGAAATCAAGCTGTAGCAGCCGGTTATCAGACACTTACGCGTGACAGTATGGCTTTTTCTGATGACTCACGAAGTTATTAACGGAAAGCATCATCTTGCAGACTTCACAGTGGAAACACGCCTTGTGCCATGTCTGAGAGACACAGAAAAGATCCAGCCGTTAGTGGTGTTCCTCCAGATTCGGGGCTCAAAAAACGTTAGGGTAAAAAGTTGAGAATTGCGGATAAAGTGAAACTAAAATTCATGAGCTATGCACACGAGAAGAGCATGTTGAAATGAAACAGTTTTCTTCTTGAATCAGCACAGGAGACATAGAAATGAGCAGAACCTGAGGAGGCAGACTGCTTCCTCCCTCGTGAGAGGACACATGTCCCAAAGACCATAGACGATCCCTACTGACCTGGTCTATACAGCTGATCTTCTCAGCAGGGTAAACGCCATAGCCACATCTAGAGCAGGCCTGCACATTCATCTTGGAGTATGGGAGACAGAGAGAAGCAACAGGCAAGATCAAGAGCTTCTCGCGCCTTCAAAATCCCACCACTATGAAACTCCTCTGGACGGCTTGGGCCTTCAGAATCCACCTTCTATTTCCCTATGCTGACCTTCTGCTCTGGAGTCCCCAGCTGGTTGGTTTTAAAGCTGCCACTTACTCAAGGGACAATTTTGGCAACTCTGTCAGCACGCATGCGTCTGAGACAAGGTAGAGGTATTTCGAGCTGACATGCTTCTCAAAATAGAAAAGTTAACTCATGGCAGCATCATGTTTACATGGATAACCAAATCTTCTTGTGTGTGTGTGTGTGTGTGTGTGTGTGTGTGTGTGTGTGTGTGTGGTCAGACGCTTGGGCCTGGTGAGCACTAGCTAAGATCATACCCCAGAAAAGGAGCTTCAAGAATAGCCATATCAGCTCTGGGAATCAAATTAGAAAGGCTGGCTGCAGCGCCTCTGACTAATGCAGACAAGACAGCTCCCCAAAATATGGGGACAAAGGAGGATTGATTCACCCTCCTGGAATCATGAATGCCAGATTTGAATTTTATCTGCTTTGCAGTAACAAAAATAAGAACTTACTAAATACTCTTTGTGTTTAACTATTACTTGAATTCAGAAATATGTAAGGACAAGTAAGAATGCTTGGTGTTTGTCCTGGAATATTCCAAAAGGCCTTTCGGCTCATTCCCTTGCCTCAATGGTCCTAACAGGGGTGGCTTAGTGACAAAAATTCCTCCTCCTGACTTTGGGAAGTGTCCACTGCTTACAGCCAACCTTATGACTTCAGAGACACCCTCTCCAAAGTGACACCTCCCTTGTCCCCACCAGGACCTGACTGCTTTGAATGTCCTCTACCTGGTGTTTAATCTTACAGCAGTTATTGCCACCTGGAAACACTAAATGTAAATGATTCTATTGTTCAGAATTGTGTCACCTCCACCCAAATATAACACTATAGTCCATGTTGCAACTTCTGAGTTCCAGAGTCTAGAACAAGGACTGTCCTTGGTGCTCAGTTAGAGCTAGTGAACTAATGGGACAAACATAATGCTTATTCCAAAATGCCTACAAAGGCCAGATGTGAAGCCCTAGGCAACATCTCAGATGGATGAGTAAGTGTCCCATGCATAGCAGGCAACACTCCTCAGCCAACAGGTGCCAAAGATTATCATTTTCCCATGGAAGCCAGAAACCTGGATTTACACATGAAATTTCCTTTAAAACAATTTTTTAATAGAACACTGGGAGTGAAAACAGGGTTATAGTCAGTACTTTTACAGCAAGCTATCAGCTTGTGGCCTTTGGCCTCTCTTCCTGGAGTTAAGGCTAGGTGTGGTAAGGACGACCAGAGGAGGGGAGGAAGCTGCAAAGGATAAGAGGAAACTGGGGGGCGGGGGGCTGCCCAACCCCAGCACTGGGAGGGGACTTCCAACAGGAACTCCAGGCTCAGGTGCTTCCCTCTGTGAAACCACCAGCCTGGTAGCTGCATTGTCCCCAGCCAGCACAAGGGAACAGACCTGGGTTGCTTTGCTGTGTACCAGACTTCCCAAGCCTGACTTGGGGGTTAGGTGGGGACCTCAAACCAGGGGAACAAATCAGGGACAATTGTACTTATGGGAAAAGCTAGGATCATTTCTACCCTGTCAAAGGCTGACTGTACCGCCCAGCTGTTCTAACTTCTCCGTCTCACTTGTGTAAACAAGGATAGCTGAAACGGGAGATGCTCAGTTTGATTTGTACAACTGGTTCGTGAGTTCAAGGGTAGTGGGGCAGTTTAAGGACATAGAAGTAAATACCTATTGCAAGGTAGACACAGGCCTCCTCTATGCCAAGTTTTAAGTGTGCCCTCCAAAGTATTTATGTCTTGGAAACTCTATCCCCATTGTGATATTGGGAGACGGAGTCTAACAAGCAGCAATTAGTGAATCAATGTCACCATGGAGACGCTGATGAGGCTGTCCCCTCTTTCCCTTCTCGTTCTTGCTCTCATTCCATCTGCCAAGGGGTGACACAGCAGCAAGCTGCTTCCAGATGTCGGTGTCATGCCCTCAGCCAGTCTCCTCTGCAGTATGAGTCAAAAGTTGTTCATGATGAAATAAGTGGTGACCCTGAAGTATTACTGTAGTTGTAGGAAATGGGATAAGACAAGAGGTTCTGCACTTGGCTCATACCAGTCTTCTCTAGTTTTCTTTCTTAGTCCAAGCTCTGGCCCCTTGACTCCAGGCGTGACACCTTGACTATCAGGCCGCCAAGCTCGGGAGCACAGTGGGTTCCTCTGACCTCAGAGAGTGGTCCAGATAATATGGGTCTTAGCATAGGTTCTCCAGACAACAGAGGCTGAGGTAAAGGCCTGTGTTCAAGGACCTTATTTAGGGGGTATTTTCATTATTATAATTCAGGAATCAGAGTGAGGAGCCAGGAAATGAGGGGAAATAGTTGGCGTGAGATTGGTCCTCAAGGTGATCACAACCCTTATCTAAAATGCTTGGGACCAGAAGTGTTTGGGGCTTCAGTTTCTATTTTAGCTTAGAATATTTACATATTTTAGGAGATGTCTTGGGTAAACAAGTCATTTTTTAAATATGAAACTCATGTTTTGTAATACCTTACATACACAGCCAGGAATGGAACGGAAACCTCAAAGCCTGTCCCCAATGACACATCTCCAACAAGGTCATACCTCATAATCCTTCCTAAGTAATTCCACTGACTGTCCACCAAATACTCAAATATATGATCCTATGGGGCCATTCCCATTCAAACCGTCACCCTCTTCAAAGGCATGACCCCAGGGACCCTCATCCTCCAACTGGATCCATCTCCCCATTCCTACCACTCTCAGTCTGCTCAGCTGGGGCTCCATCTACGGATTAATTCCCTCCTTATGTCAAAGCCCTCATGCCCTGATTGTCTCTGGAATGCTGTCTCAGACACACACAAGGGTGTGCTTTATTAATTCTCTATGACTCTCTCAATCCAATAAAACTGGCAATTAAAATTTTGTCACACTATATGAATGGCTGCCAGAGGAAGCAGAGAGAGTTGGCCATCTGGTCTTGCCGGTGAAAGCTCACGAGTATTAATTCTCTGTGTGACAGAGGTCCCAGGGCAGCTCAGCCCTCCACACCAGCAGGAAAACGCCATGAAGCTGAAGGCCACGGGCACTGAGCCTTTGTTGGGATAATCTTTTTATACACCGTGTGAAGATGCATCTCTGCCCTTCCTCACCTGCCCAAGGCACCTTCTGATTGGTTTCATAAAGAGCTGAATGACCAATAGCTAAGCAGGAGAACATAGGTGGGACTTCCAGGCAGAGATTCGAACTCTGGGAAGGAATCTGAGGTGCAGGAGATTTGCCAGCCAGACTCAATGAAGTCAGACATATGATACTGAGAAGAGGTAACAAGCCACATGGCAAAACATGTACTAATATAAGCATTGTATATTAATATAAATGTGTTATATAGTATGTAAAATTAATATGATATAATATAAACATAAAATTAATTAATACAAATTAATTTAAGTTTTAAGAGCTACTTGGGAACAAGCCTAAGCTAAGGCCAAGCTTTCATACTTAATAAAAAATCTCCATGTCATTATTTGGGAGCTGGCAGCCCAAAGTAAGACAAATACTTATATCCATGTGATGATGGCCAGTGCCCATAGAACCAAGACTGGGCTGGCACGGAAAGACACAGTCTCTCCCACCCTGTGTACACACAAGTAAGGTTGAGAGGGGAGGGGTCTGCTTCACTATCCAGTCAGCAGAGTCTAGCACTTGGGTCTGATGACGGACACAGTGCTGTCTCCCCTTGGTGGGAAGCTGTTGCTGTAATTTTCTTTCCAGCCAGATCCCATAGCTGCTTCAGCCCCAAATAAATACACAGAGACATATATTAATTTATAATCTGTTGGCTGATGGCTAGGGCTTCTTATTGGCTAGCTCTGTCTTAACTTTTAACCTATAACTACTAATCTATGTATTCCTACCTGGCCTTATCTTACATGAGAATGCCTGGCACGGAATCTTATCTTCCCATCTCTCCATGGCATCTCCTTCCACTCTCCCTCTGCCTATCTTTCCCAGAATTCTCCTCGTCTCCTTGCCCCACCTGTCTTCCTGTCTCTATTGGCTATTGGCTAAACAGTGTTTTATTCATCAACCAATAGGAGAAATATATATACAGAAGGACATCCCTTCAGGATGCTTCTGCCAACACCATCCACTTGGCTTTGGCGTCAGGTCTTGACGCACAGGTCAATGTAAACCTCTGCAGGCTTAGCTGGACATTAACGACCGTGTTCGTGATGTGGCAAGGGGGGTCCTTTGGACTTAGCACGCCATTCTTTATTCATCCCGTTGAGGATGGACCCCTTGTTTCACCTAATCAAGGCCTTTTACACCTTGACTGAGTCACCAGAACACCGAGTGCTTCTCCTTACCTCCAAGTCAGTTTCTCGCTCTCTTTGGGACTACACAGTGTCAGGACAGCTACTGATCATTATTGCTTAGATTAGCTTCCCGTCCCATGCTAGGGGTTTATGTTGGTCTTGCTTTTAGGATTCCCTCAAATTGGAACTTGAAGCAGGAACTTGGGTGCAGGGAAATACTTAAGAGTTGGCAGGGGTAAGGGTTTGAGGAGAACGGGTCAGGGAAAGTCAGTAAACTGTATGTCCTGTGCTCATTGCTGCCATGGACGGCTGAGACTAAGTGTTGCTGGGGATTCTTTGGGGAACTGTATAGAACATGCCTCAGAAATGTGCCACAGACATTGGCCGGGCTCTGGCTTCTGACCTGCTCTCTCTGTCTCTCCCCAAATCTAAGCTCATACAATATGTAGATGATATTTTACTTTGCAGCCTGTCCTTGGAAGTTAGCCAGACTGACACCTCCTCTCTTCTAAATTTCCTGTCCAGCAGGGGTTATAGAGTCTTACCTTCTAAGATCCAACTCTACTCCTCAGGTCACCTACTTAGGACTAATCATTACCCCAACTCACAAAGCTATTACCTTAGACAGAAAAAAACCTAATCCAGTCTCTTGCAGTTCCTTCTACTAAAGAGGAGATTTTATCGTTTCTAGGAACAGCTGGCTTCTTACGCTCCTGGATCCTCCTCTTACTCTCTCCTTGCTCGTCCCCTATATGAGGCAGCTCTTGGATCTCCACATGAACCTCTTCTTAACCCTGTTACTAAGCCCTTTCCAAAACTCGAACAGGCTCTTCTCCAGGCCCCAGCCCTTCATCTCCCAGACTTAACTTGTCCTTTCTCCCTCTATGTAGCAGAAAAGGAGGGGATGCCCTTGGAGTTTTAGCCACCAACTAGGACCTTCCTTTGCACCTGTAACATATCTATCAAAGAAACTAGACCTAACTACCCAAGGGTGGGCACCCTGCATATGTGTTTAGCAGCTCCTTATTCATGAATCAAAGAAACTAACCTTTGGGTCACCCATCACTGTCTTCTCCCACCACAACCTGTCTCATCTCCTAACCTACAGAGGCTTACAAACTCTATCTCCTTCTCGAGTTCTTTCCTACAGGTGAGGCTGGTAGAAGATGCCACACTTACTTTCCAATCCTGCCCACCCCTCAGTATCTCAAATTTTTTACCTCAACCCGAAGCTAACTATTCTCCATCTCATTCCTGCATTGAAACCTTAGAGGAACTATTGCCCCATCCTTCACACATACAAGGGGGCACACTACCTCAGGCCACCTATACCTGGTACACAGATGGCAGCTCCTTTTTACATGAGGGGACCCATAGAGCAGGCTATGGCATAGTGTCAGATACCAGGGTGTTGGATGCACGGGCACTCCCGGCCCACACTACTAACCAGCAGGCTGAAGTGATAGCTCTCACCCATGCCTTCCAATTAGCACACGGACAATCCCTAAATGTTTACCCAGACTCCAAATATGATTTCCTCCTGTCCCACACTGCTATCTGGAAAGAGTGAGGGCTACTTAATAGGAAAGGAGGATCCATAACCAGCTCAGGTCATAGTATAGCCATGCTAAAGGCCTCTCACCTACCGAAAGTTATAGGTATTATTCACTGCCAGTCTCATTAGACTGACAGCTCCATTATCTCTAAGGGCAACAACCGGGCTGATGAAGCAGCTAGGGCTGCAGCCCTCTGAGGCCCAGATCTACCCAACCCACCACAGGGAGTTCATACACTGCAACCCACATCCTCACAGCCACCTCCTGACATTGGACAAATTCTGTCCTATTTACACCAGCTCTTCCACCCTAACAGGAAGGCTCTCTCTCAGTTTGTCAAGGCTCACCTCCAGCGCAGCCCTGAGGACTTGCATTTCTTAAGAACTATCACTGCCTCTTGTAAAACCTGTCAGATGTCAGACCCTAACTCCAGTATCGTAGCCCCCCTTTTTCCACCCACCAGGCCAGGGGCTCTCTCCCAGAGACTGACTGGCAACTTGACTTTATCCACATGCCCACAGTCAGTTAAATACCTCCTGGTACTAGTGGATACCTTCTCGGGCTGGGTAGAGGCATTTCCAACCACTAACAAGAAAGCCCAGACAGTCTCTGACATCCTTCTCAGGGAAATTATCCCCTGGTTTGGGATTCCAGCCTCTCTTCAGTCAGACAATAGTCCTGAGTTCACCTCTCAGATCTCCCCAACCCTATCTAAATCTCTCAACATCCCTTGGCGTTTTCATATCCTCTATCACCCCCAGTCCTCAGGGAAGGTAGAGCAAACTAACCGTTCTTTTTTTTTTTTTTTTTTTTTTTTTTTTTTTTTTTTTTTTTTGGTGTTTTTGAAACAGGGTTTCTCTGTGGCTTTGGAGTCTATCCTGGAACTAACTCTTGTAGCCCGGGCTGGTCTCCAGCTCACAGAGACCCCCCTGCCTCTGCCTCCTGAGTGCTGGGACTAAAGGCGTGCACCACCACTGCCCAGCAAACTAACTGTTCTTTAAAGAATGTTCTTGTTAAAATGTCACAGGAACTTCACCTTGACTGGGTAAAGCTCTTGCCTCTGGCTCTTTTCAGGCTCAGGGCTCTCCCCAAATGACGCCTTTTCATCTCACCCTTTGAACTCATGTGTGGGCGCCCAGTTCTGACACCTGGTCTCGCACCTAAAGCCCTCCCCCTGGCCATCTGCTTACACTCTACTTCATCGTCTCTGCTCCCTCCTATGGGCTTTACTGACCACTCCCTACCTCGACCATGCGCCAACCCCTGTACATCTCCAGTTAATATCGGGATCAGGTGCTTCTCTCTCCTCCAGACCAACACCCCTCATCCCTGTACCCTAAATGGCCAGGCCCATTCAAGGTGATTCTTGTCACTCCAACAGCTGCTAATCCACTGGATTCACTCATCTCACCTCCAACCCTTTACTTCTCCACCTGAGGCTCACCCCTCACACACAGCAACTGCAACAGGACCCTGTTCCTTAAGCTTCGGAGGACACCTGGATCAACTACTTTGCCTCCTGTTTCAGAAGAAATAGGCTCCACTCCTACAACCACACCCTGCCAGACTGGGAACCCCATACGCCTTCCTTCCTGCCCTCAGGATGATCTAAACTCTCCTGTTTCTAATTACACCCTGCTCACCAATCTCCTATGTATTCCTCAATAACTCACTTAAAACTTCTAATTCAACCTATTAGCTGTTGTTACAGGAATGCCAGCCAGAAGCCACGGATCTAGAGACACAAAGACCACCAAACATTTGTGCCTCCTGAGTAAAGGTAACCAGAAAAATTCCATACAGCCTAGATACGATCAAAACTACAAGCTCAAAGTTATGGTGCTTTTTTTTATTGTGACTCTGATGTAAATGTGCTGCCAATGAGTCTAATACTTACATTTTCAACAACTAAAAGCAAGTTCCAGGGAGCAGAATTGGACCCATCCAAACAGGTCAGATTCACTCCAAATAAATATTATTCAACCTCCTCCCCCCACCCCGTCGTCCTGGGATTCCCTTCCCTCGTCTTGGGACCCCTTGGAAACCCCTCCCTCATCTTATAATCCTCCCCTCAAGTACCAGGACCTAAGAAAAAAAATTTCTAAACCTAACTTTGTCCTCTACTCTAACATTTCACCAGATCTACAGAGATGCCAGAGTTCCAAATAGCCAGGACTTCGATGGAGCAGCCAGCTACCCCAGGACATGGCAACACCCAGCTTTCTCAGGTCCCCCAAAGATGGTCAACACCCGCTAGGTCAACAGGAAGCAGTCTTGAGAACTCAACACCCTTATTGCCTAACTTGCCATGCCCAACTCCCCACCATTTTTAATAATAAGAGGTGAGATTGTTGGAACTAAAACACCAGGCTGCCCCCAGCCCTCTGACAATGGGTGGGGCATGCACAGTGACGTAGCCATGTCTTCTCCACGTCACTCGTTAGGCAGTACAGAGCTGTGTAAGAACTCTGCCCATGCCGGAGGACTCAGGACTCGGTGGGCATGTGTGGGCTTTCCCTTTTAAGCTCGCACCCTTCCCGCCCCACTCTCTCTCCCTGTCTCCGGTTGGCCTCCATCTACCCACTCTTTCCCTTTCTACCAACAAAACCCCCAGTGGGTTTGTTGATTCAAGGTTCTTGTTTCATACCATTCACTGCAGCAAAATAACAATACCTGGCTCTGCCTCCCAAGTGCTGGAGCTCTTATTTTAATCTGTTTCTCTTTGCCTACATTTTGCTTTGGAACTTTTTATCTTTCTTTCTGTATGTCCTACTTCCCAGCTTCTCGTGTCTGGCTGGTGGCTGCCTGGCCCTGGGCATGTCCTTCTTTTTCTCCCTCATTCTCTCCTCCTCCTCCTTCTCTGTCTCCCAAGCCTAGATCTCTCCTCCTCCTCTGTCTGCCCACCAGCCCCATCCATCCCTCTACTGACTACTATTGGCCATTCTGCTTTTTATTAGCTCTATCAGGTGCCTTAGGCAGGGAAAGTGAACAGATGCAACACATCTTTGCATGGTTAAATATACATCCTTACATATTAAACAGATGCAGCATTGTACCATGAATAAATAAATGACCCAAAGACTGATATTGGGGCTCAAAATTCAAGCTGAATATCAGAAAAACAAAGCAGTCGGCCATCAGCTCTTACCTCTACCTCAGGCTGAAAGGGCTGTTCCACACATGAGCTCTTCACCAAGTCTCAGACTGCTGCCTCTCCCCAGTGTGGCTGGAGAATGAAAAGCCTCTCTGAGACCTTGCTTCTGTCTTATATATTTTCCTAATGTTGGGATTAAAGTTGTGAGCTATAATTCTCTTTTAGACTGATTCCCTCTTGTGTAGATCTGGGGGGCCTTTGACTCACAGAGATCTGTCTACCTCTTAATCCTGAGTCCTAGAATTAAAGCTGTGAACCACCACCTCCTAGCTTCTGGCTGCTGGGATTGAAGGGGTGTGTGCCAGGCTTCTGTGGCTTGTGGCTGACTTTGCTTTCTGAATCTTCAGCTTTAATAAATCATAAATAATATATCACCACACAGCATAAACAAATGTAATATTCTGCAACAATGCAACACATCCTTGCCTAGTCAAAACAACATTCCACAACACCTGGCTCCTTCACCCAGCTTGAACGAGGGCAACCTCTCAAAGCCTCATATTCTTTATCACCGAATGAGCAGAGATGAGCTGTTAAGGTCCCTTCCACATTTCAGGGCTAACCTGGAAAAGTCTAGGTTTACAATGTAGACAAATCGCAGTGCAATTTCACTTAATGGAATTCTTCATTTTTCAAAGGATTGCCAGTATCCCAGTAGAATTATCTTTTTTTTTTTTCTTTTTTGCTTTTTCAAGACAGGGTTTCTCTGTCTAGCCCTGATCCTGTCACTCACTCTGTAGACCAGGCTGGCCTTGAACTCACAGAGATCCGCCAGCCTCTGCCTCCCTAGTGCTGGGATTAAAGGCCTGTGCCACTAACACTGGGCTGCCAGTTGAATTATCTTAAAAAGCAAATCATCTTAGAGCAAGCCATGGCTTACCACAACATTTACCACAACAGTTCAAGGTCACAAGCATTAAATAAAAAGTAGGGCGGTCATATTAATGCACTTGCCCACATTGCTGGGGGGCTGCTGTCCAGATTCACTAGCTAGTCTGTCAGGTCTGTGCTTGGAAAGAGTGAGGCTTGAAGAAAGAAATACACAGAAGACAGGAGATAGCATTCGGTGAATACTGAACCGACCATGTTTCTCAAAGTCTTTTTATACCCCCATCAAAGGAGGGGGAGAAGGCAAAAGACTTTTTTATCAAGATACAAAAAAGAAGCAAGCACAATTACCTTCTCTATACCCAAAAAGTCAAGTAACTATCTCCTGAGTTAAGTATTCTGTTGTTCAGGAAGGACATTCAGCGACCACACCTTAGGCCAAATATCCTCTTATATTTACATTTTAGGCCAGACATCATTGTTGTTTCACCCTGGAAGAGCAAGGGCAGGCAAAAACCCTCTGACCTCAAGTCAAAATAGAATGGAGTCAGGTCTGTGGGTTCCCACATACTGAGAATTGCCAATTTTAATTATTCCCTCACACTTATCTGGGGTGAGTCTTTCTCGACATCCAAGAAGTGCCCATACCTGATAAGATTTCAGAGATGGTGCTGAAACTCTCAGGCTCAAGAAAAAGCAAAATAGAAAAAAAAAAATAGCCCCGATGATTCTGACTCGAGACTTGCAGGCCCTAGAGGCAGGTATTTCTGGTATGCCCAAAACTACCGCTGCCCTCGGATAGTTCACCTCAGTGTGAATGAATTTAATTAGCGGTTCTGAGGACTCTGGGCTGAGGGAACCGGAAGCCTCTATGTTGGAAGCCCAGGTGGGTGGGTGGCATGAGGATGTGCGTGCGCAGGTGTTGGAGGTGCCATGCAACAGGAACCTGTGGAGATGCACTGTCTGCTTCCTCGTGCCTAGTGCCTGGCACAGGGGAGGACACAAGAATGATTCTGGGAAGACACCAGACCAAGGCGACAGTTGCTGCATAGCATGGGATAGAGATGCCGATTGGGTTAGAGGAAGGGGAAATGACAAGACAGGAGCCGCATCGCTGAGGGCATGTCAAATCTTTGGGTCGATCTGCACTTTTGCAGTTTCCTCTTTCTCAGGGATGGCGCGGCACCGGGATCCCCGACTTTAGCGGGTTTAGAAACCCGGCTTAACGCGCGCGCCGTCGGGTGAGCGCCGGGAACTTTGCATAAAGTAGCGCGGGTGAGACAGTCCGGGGAGGGTGTGGCTGCG